GTGCAAGGCAGGTGCTTTTGCCACTGAGCTAAATCCCCAGCCCCAAGACTAAAAGTTTCAAAACAAAAATGTGCTCTAAAAATCCTGATGCTCTAAAGAATATGTGTGTATTGTACTTGTGCCTGTTCACTCACGCATGGATAAACATCTAGAAGTGGAACCACTGGGCTGGAGACTATGCATTTTATGTTAGGACTGATGCTACCAAGTCACTCTCACCCCCACACATACTACACCAGCAATATACTCCAGTGAGTGTCACTGCATACTCCTACCAAGACAGCGGGGGTGCCTACCCATCAGGTAAACATTTCATTGTACATTTACATTTCTCTTTTATGAGCACAATCAAGCACTTTCTCATTATTTATTTGTGTATTTTTTTTTAGTTCTAGGGATGGAGAACCCAGGGTCTCAGGCACAGTAGGTAAACACTGTACCACTCAGTTATACCCCTGGCCACTCCTATCTATGTTTTTGAGACAAGGTCTCACTATGTAGTGTGGGCTGGCCTTGAACTCACTTATGTAGCCTAGGTTGGCCTTGAACTCATAGCAATACTCCTGCTTACCCTCCAGAGAACTGGGATTACAGGGGTATGCCACCACACTTGACTGTCCCTCCATATTTTGTGGGGTTTTTTTTGGTTTTTTGTTCCTTTTGAGACAATGTGAGTTCTGATTTTTGTTCCTTTTGAGACAACGTGAGTTCTGATTGTGAAACTGTGAGTTCTGATTGGCCTTGAGCTCACTTCATAGCGCAAACTGGCCTTGAATTTGCAGCAATCTTCCTGCCTCAGCTTCCCAAGAGCTGGGATTAACTAGAGTGCACCACCACTCTCAGCCTGCCCCTCCATATTTTAAAACATCCTATTTCATTGTTTTTTCATGGTTTGTTGATATCCTCTGATTTTTCTACTATATTTTAAATCTTTTTCTTACTGATATGTAATTTTTAAAAAATATATTAAGGAAATAGTCTTTTGTTTATAAAGGTCTTCTTCACCTCAAGACTAAACACAATCCCCCATGTTTTATTTTTTCCTAGTAATCCTTTCATATCAATTATTTTGAATGGATTTACCATGTTGTTTAGAAAAGAGTAGATAAAAGCCCTCATTGTTGGAAAAGGAAAAAAGAAGCAATCCATTTTTGTACCCAGAACTCTTTAAAACTCTTCCATCATAATTCAAGGTTAGATTTAATCAATAGCACTATTAAAAGCAGATATGATTTCAAGTTACCTGAACTTTCTACAGTAACGTTGAGAATAAACCATTGCGGTTGGGCCTAGTGGTGCATGTCTGTAATCTCATTACTTGCCGGGCTGAGGCAGGAGGATCTCCCCAAGTTTGAGGCCAACTAAGGCTACATAGTGAGTTCAACACCAGCCTGAACTGCACAGCAAGACCCTGTCTCAATAAAACAAAACAAAAACAACCAATAAAAACACTGCACACCTATAAATCCAGGATTTACGAGAGGCAGAGGCAAGGGGAACATAAATTTAAGCCTAGCCTAGGCAACTTAGTGACTTATCAAAGTCCTGTCTTAAAATAAAAAATAAATAAAAAAGAGCTGGAACTATAGCTCAGTGTGAAGGTCATGGGTTCAAACCCCAGCAATCATTACCCCCAAACACACCAAAGAACAGACCAATACAAGCCAGGTTTTGTGGTATGTGTACAATGCGAACTACTTGGAAGGCTGAGGCCACAGAATCACAAGTGAGATACCAACAGGGACAACTTAGATTCTGTCTCAAAATTAAGAAGTTAGGGGTGTAGTTCAGTAGCACAGTGATTCTGAGTTCCATTCCCAGTACTGAAATATAAACCAATAGTACAATAAATCTGTCAGAACCAGATAGCAAACACACTATCTTGATTTCATGTTTCCCTCACATCCTAAAGGAAAAACCACAAACCCCAATGTCAGGCCACAATACCCTCATATTAGAGTAACAAGTGGCTTGGAGTTACACAAAATGGGATGCACTGAATATCTGAATATGATGTCACACACCCGTGTAACACCCTCACACATGCAGATATTTACATGTGCACACACACCCACACACCCAGCCAGTATTCATGCTGCTTCTTGTGGCCACATCTTCCTTTCCAGGGGAATTACTTCAAGATCCGGCTCAAGGCCTCTGGTCCATTAAGGCCTCACTATCCCCATGCCATCCACAGTAATTTCTCCCTATCACAAATTCACAGCATTTACTTTCCATAATGCTTATTTAAACTTGTGGCTATAAAAAATTTTTAAAAAATAAAATAAAATTGTGGCTATAGGCTGGCTGGTAGCATTTCTTCCATTAATTTTTTTGTACTAGAGATCAAACTCATGACCTTACACTTGCCAGGCAAGCACTTGTGTGCTGAGCTAATTCCCTGGCCCATCTTTCCACTAATTTTTTAAAGTATAATTTATGTTGCCAAATTAGGGCAAAGACAAACTCACACTTGGAAAACAATAACATCCATACTTCACAGTATGCCAAAGCATTTATTATATAAGTAGTTCTTTTTCTAGGCATGAAATTTTTAAATAAAACCTTAACAGTTCTGTGCCCCAATTGAAGCACTCAGATGTCCCACAGAATGACTAACTGTCCTGCAGGGGCATTTTAGACTGGTTTTCAGGGATGGAAGCTGAGGTAGAATATGCTGTAACCCCAGCACTCAGAAAGCTGAGGCAGGAGAACTGAACTTCAAGACCAGTTTGGGCAACTTAATAAGATCCTGTCTCAAAATAAAAAGTGTTAGGGATGTCACTCTGTGCAAGCTCTGGGTTCAATTTCCAGTGGGGGGGGGGGGAGAAGAAAAAGAAAAAGACTGATATCCACAAAGAATACAACCAAAAATACCTAAGAATAGTCATCTAGCCTGCCTGGTCCTAAATTCAATCCCTGGCACACACAAAAATGTCATCTGTGGGAGGTTGAGGTAGGAAGAGCACCACAAGATTGAGGCCAATCTAGGCTACATAGTGAGTTTAAAGCCAGCTTGGACTACTTGACAAGACCCTGTCTCAAAAAAACAAAACAAAAACCAAACCAAACCAAAAAGAAAAGTTTAGCCAAAAAGTCCAAAGAAAAACACTTTGGCAAAAGAACAGCATTTAAAGAAAAGGAAACAAATAACTCATGGAAAAAAAAGACACTCAACTTCATTAGTTATCAAATTAAAAAGCAATTTAATAATAAAAGATATAAACAAGTAAGAGGAGCAGGACTCAGTGGCACATAAATATAAACCTAGCTATTCAGGAGACTGAGGATCACAAGTTCCTGCCTGGCCTGGGCAATTCAGCAAGGCCTGTCTAAATAAAAATCTGATGGGAGGCAGCTCAGTGGTAGAGTCCTTGGCAGGCACAAGTTCTAGGGTCAATCTGGGGTACTGCCAAAACAAAACAAAAAAAAAAAGTGCAAATTCACAGAAAATATATAAATGGAAGCCAGGCATAGTAGCTTTTGCCTGTAATCCCAGCATTCAGGAGGCTGAGGCAGGAAGGAGGATTGCTGTGAGTTTGAGACCAGCCTGGGCTAGGACATAAGTGAGTTCAATGCCTGCTCTACATAGTAAGACCCTGTCTCCAAAAAAAAAAACAACAACAACAACAACAAAAAACCCCAAAAACATAAATGGCCGTGAAACAAGTCTTACTATCACCAGTATTCATGCAAAACAGGATATCTTTCATTTAGGGCAGGTTTTGACTTTTTTTTTTTTTTGCGTGTTAGTGCGTCTCCAGCCTTTGGATATATTTCAGCTCAGGTCCAGCCACTGGACTGTACTCACAGTTTCCTAGAGGACCAGTTTTGAAAAAACAAAATATTCAGTTGTTGGAAGATACTGTGGAATAGGGAGTTTGCCTCCCTGCTAGTAGGACTATATATATATATATTTTTGGAGGGGGCCTATAAATTGATAAAGACTTCTAGACTACAATTTGGCACTCATCAGTTAATATTTCAAAAATATACAGGCTCTAAAACATCAATTCTAAAAAAATACCACACGTTTATAAAGATTTAAGTACCAGAAAAAAAAAAAATAAGTACCCTTTCTACACACCACTGTAATACAATAACCTAAATAATCTCTAATGTGTCCACGAGGACGTTAAGCAAAAGACAATATTCAGCTGGGCATGGTAGCACACTTCTGTAATCCCAGCACTTGGGAGACTGAGGCAGTAGAATCACTGAGAGTTCGAGCCCACCCAGTGAATTCAAGGCCAACCTGAACCACATATCGAAACACTGTCTCAAAAACAAAGCAAAATAAATAAAATACAGTCATAATATAGGATCGTGTGTTGCCTATGGAAAGCCACTGGACGCACGTGTACTGGAAGATGTCAAAAAAGAACGCTTGGAGTGCTACAAAAAATTTGGCAGCACATATAGTTGATTTAGGCCTTTTGTGTAAAAGTCTGCAGTTTTATATGGCTAAGCCTAGAAGGTTCATTAACCCCTACTCTGTGATTACTTTCGAGTGAAGAGTGGAAAAGCAAAGATTAAGGTCATTCTCTCTCCATTCGTCTTTGTCAATTTCAGAGGCCACAATCCAGAGTAAACAATCTCTCTGAGCTCAAATGGCACTGAACTGGCGCGCAGTTGTGTACAATGGGCCAGGGAACCAAGGAGCGAACTACCCAAGAATTACGTAGGTTAACGGAGAACACTATCGCCAATCAGAGGACTCGAGAGGTAGGTGCCCTACACAACCGCGATCTCCCGACTCCACTCTACCAAGTGGAGGACGACTTCTGTTCCTTCTGGTCTGACCGGCTCCCGCGACCACCCGTGTCCGGCAACCAGAGAAACGAGTAGGCATCTGGGCGGAGGATGCTGTAACGCAGCGGCTAGCTCCGCGCAAGCAGCCGCGCAGGACCCAATGCCTACGCGACACATGCAGCCGCGTAGCGCCTGTCTAAAAGAGCCCCAGAAGGCCGGGACCCTTTTAGAATGCCGGCCGCCCTCACCTCCCGAGGCGGCCACCAGAAACGGAGCTCGCAAAGGAGGTCGAAGACTGCGGCCCCACAGCAGCAGCGAACGAAGCTCCCAAGCCATGTCTTTGTCCCTCAGCGCCGCGTGCACACGGTTGGCTGGGTAGGGCCGTAGGGTGGACCATCCTCGGGCGCGGCGCGGTGACGTCACGGAGCGCCGGGCTGCCCGGCGCGCTGCCTGCTGGGGCTCTGTCGGCCCTGTCACCGTCCGGGATGGGAGTGGAACCCTTGTGACCTTGGGCCGGGTTGTCAAGGGCGACGGTCTTTTGCTCGGAGCTTGAGAACCTCTGGCTAACTCGGTTAACCACACCTGAGCGTGTGCATTTCTCGAAATAGGGCCATGTTGATAGATATGTGAGGCGTGGACCCCAAGAAACTGTTACTTTTCTGTATGTTTGAATTCCAGGTACCGGCCTAGACTGCTGGAAAATCTCTAAACCAAAAGCTAAAGCGAATGTCAAAAGAGATTCTATGCTTGACCTGTCTGTACCAAAACGTGAATTCACTAACCACCACCAGAACTGGACTTTGTGTTTGTTAGGAGTCTCTCCTTTTTAAAAGTTAAGAGCTTGTTGTGGGTATCTATTTTGAGACTTCATATTGGTACTTTGGTGGTTTGTCTATCTTGATGTCAATGCTATTTTGTCATGATCAGTGTAATTTTGTGATAAGTCCTGGGATTGGGGAGGGTTGGAGCTCTAATTTTGTTCCTTTATCAAAGTTGTTTACACTTTTCTGAGTCTTTTGTATTTCGACAAATGTAAGAGTCAAAATGTTAATCTTTATAAAGAACGATGTTGGCATTTTGATAAGGGATTGTGTTTTTTGATCTTTATTATTTTCTTCGTTTTTGCTTTTATTTTTAAGGAAAGATAGGATATTTCATAACTTTCTTTTCTAATAAATATTCTTGGTGTTAAAAAGAAAAGTTTGGTTAGACATTCAGACCATAAATCTCGTCTCTTTTAACACTTGGTCTTAACCCTGAAGTAACATCTTACACAGATTATCCTGTATGGCCTCAACCAGAGTAGGTCCCAGCTGGCTCTGTTTAGACAAGTTCTCAGATGATTCTGAGGCACAGTAAAGACTTGTGGCCATGACCATTTTACATAATTGTACAAAAACACAGTTCCTTGAGGACTAACAGTGTAGCTTAGTGGTAGAGCACTAGCCTAGCATGCAGCAAAGCCCTTGTGTTCAGTACCTAGCATCACAAAACAAATTTGAGATTGTAAGAAGATGCAAAAAAAAAAAACCAAAACAAAACAAACAAACAAAAAAAAAACAGAAAAAAGTTCCAAGATAGTGCCCCTGGGGACTCTGAACACAAGAGTTGAGTGATGAGAAAGGGTATGTCCAGGAATGCTTGCAGTTTACAGGTGATGTGGGTGACCCATGAGATCCTGACTTAAATAACAGAGAGGAATGTAAAGGAATGTGAAGATTTGGATGGAAGAGCAGTCTTCTCTTCTGGATGACTTTGGCAGGCCATTTGGTCCTGGCTTCCGCTGGGTCACCTCCTATCTGACATAGCTAGATCTCATTACTCTCCTTACTCAGAATTCTCCAGGGTTATCCCCTGAACTCTTAAAAATTCCAAACTACTGTCTCAAGTCCAGAGACCCCACACCACCACTGGGCATGGGTTCCCTGCCAGGATGTCCTATAGCCATTACCCAAGGGAACAGAGATGGCCATCTTATATTTTACCTATTCAGGAAATCACCTATTAGAGCTGAAGCACTAAATCTGGCTTATAGAGAATTTTCAGGAAGGGAAAATGATATTTGGCAAAGGGAAAATCAGAGCTTCTAAAGATGAGGTGAGAAAGGCAGGCTCTATGGAGGAGAAACTTCTCAGGTTTCAGACTAACCTGGACCCTCCTGTAGTCTTTCCTTGCTCAGTAAACCAAAAATTTGGAACTCAACCATCTTTCAAGGGGTGGGGACGGTGAGAAATGCCTTCCAGATCAAGGCTAGCCACAGTCTAGTACCTGAGGTTCAGTCCTTCCTGATGACACTAATTCTGGTTGCCTAGTATCTGACAATTCCTCTTACCTGACCTCTGACCTTTTCTTTGCCCTGTTGAATTTCCAAGCTTTGAGAACATGGGAACAATGTTACTGTGTAGTATCCCTGTCTCAGTGTATTCTTTGCTGTCCCATTTTCACTCCAGAAAGCAGCACAGCCATATTCCTCTTCTCAGCACTCTACGCCTATGCTAAGGTCAAAGGAGTCCTGGGGAGGGTCAGAGGTGACAATGGAAGAATTCAGGCAGCATGAAGCCTCGATGGTGGGAAAAACAGGGAAAAGACCCACAGCAGCAATGTAGGAACACATCACTCAGCTACCTTTCTAGACTTTGCATAAGCTCCCAAGGGCCTGTGAACATAGACTCTCACTCTAGCTTGGAACATTTCCTAAACATTCACTACCAGCCAGCCATGGTGCTATATACCTGCCTGTAATCCAAACACTCTAGGTGGCTGAGGCAGTATCGGGTAATTTAGGGAAAAGTCTCAAAATTAACAAAAGGGCTGAAGATGCAGCAAGATAGAGTTTCACTATGTCATCCAGGCTGGACTTAAATTCCTTTTATAGCCCAGGCTGACCTAAAACTCAGTGATCCTCCTGCCTTGAATCTCAAGTGCTGGAATTACAGGTGTGAGTCACCACACCCAGTGCTCATCTACATTTTAAAAACTAGTTTGCAAGAGGATTCCTTGTTGTGTGCCTAGGTACATGGGATGCAAGACCAGAAACTTTAAAGCCCATGTAAGTTTTAACCTTCTTGCACGGACCAAGCTGAAGGACTAGGGCCACTAGAAGCTTGATGCTACAGATACCAAATTGACAAACATGAGACTAATATTTTTTGGGGCTGGGTATTTAGCTCAGTGGCATAAGCGCCTGCCTTGCAAGCAGGCAGTCGTGAGTTCGACCCCTGGTACCGAAAAAGACCAAAAAAGAAAAAAATTTTTTTTTCTCCAGTGCCAGTTAATCAGCAGTAGACCAAACAGGCATGCTGATTCCAAAGCCTTTGTAAGGAATTAATTAGCGCTATCTATGTCACTTACCTGTTTTCCTCATTCACAGGGCAAATCAGTGAAATCCATTTTATAGCATTTATTATACATTATGCTTTTCCCAGCTCTTCTATTATCCACATGAGGAAAGCAGAATTTGGGGAGTTCACTTATGGTTAAGGCCAAAGCCCTTGTTTAGGGCTCCTTGCTAAGGCACTAAGCGCTGTCAGGGAATTGTTCCTGTCTCTTCAACTTCACAGAGGCCTCAGAACCACACTTCCTATCCTCTAACTCTACAGTCTTTTCCTAATTCCTTGATAAATATCTGTAATACCAGGGCTTTGTGCATGCTAAGGAATTACTCTACCGCTGAGTTACATGACATCCCCTACAAGTTTTTTTTTTTATTGGTACCAGGGATCGAACTCATAACTGCCTGCTTGCAAGCAGGTGCTTATGCAGCTGAGCTAACCCCCAGCCCCCCCCCCAACATTTCTTAAGGTGTTTTATAGCCATCAATTCCCTTTGAAATTTTAGTGATTAGTAACATAGCCAAGAATTCTAGCAAATCCTCTGTAAATATGGGAGCTGATGAGTATCTGTAATCTCAGCTATTTATGAGGCTAGAGCAGGCTTCTATATTCCAGGCCAGCTCCAGGAAATTTAAAATTAAAAAATGTTAAAGCCAGCTGTGGTGGTACACATTTTGTAACCCCAGGACTTCAAGCCTGAACCTAGTTTAAGCAATTTTGAAAGACCCTGTCTCAAAATTTCTAAAAGGCTTGAAGATACAACTTACTATGAAGGCCCCAGCTTCAATCTTCATTACTGAAATGAAAAATTTTAAAAGGCTGATGCAGCTCAGTGTAGAGCCAAACAGTGGTGCATATACATAATCTGGGAGTCTGAGGCAGGATTTTTTCTGTAACAGGGTCTATGTAGTCAGGTTTCTGAGACAGGCTCTATATAGTGAACTCTCTGCGAAGTCCAGGCTGGCCTTGAATTTGGGGCAATCTTCCTGTCTCAGCCTCCCGAGTGTTGGAATTATAGGAATGAGCCACAACGATGGGCTGGATTTTGAGATTCTTGAGCCCAAAACTTTGGACAAGAAAGCCCCCCCCCCCCCCATTCTTTTAATGAAACTTAACTGTTTATCCATTCTTATTATGTACCATAAAATTATACAACTAGTGAATATGAAATTAACACATATCCCTATGAAGCTACCATATTTCTTTAGAGTCCCAAATGAACTTTTTTTTTTATTCCTACAGGCTTCTACATACCTGCTACAACACTGTAGTTGTAGCTCCCAGCACACCTTTCATGTTGAAGTTTCTGGCAGCACAATGGCTACAATCATTACCTTATAATTTTATCATAGAATGCTAAAACCACATTTTGGTTCAAATGAAATCTTTGGCTATGGGCTGGGGATTTAGCTCAGTGGCTTCAAGCACCTGCCTGTTAGGCACAAGGTCAGGAGTTTGATCCCCAGTACCAAAAAACAACAGAACTTTGGCTTCATTTCATAGCAATTAAAACAAATAGAAAGTTACATTACCTCCACCCTAAGAATGTAAGGTTGTATGCTACCCAGATGTATTTTAGATTTTAAAAATCTAGAAATTCAAAAGACAGTGTCAAATGTATGCTCAGTTGGGACAAACCACCAAACACCTTCACTGTCATTAGCTGATGTGCTAATGCTAAGGATCATTAGCTAATTGGAACCATCTCTGAATCCAAGCAGTTTTATCAGCTTTTATTATAAACACCAGCACATTTCAAGTTCCCTCTTTTTAATCACAAATATAGGGCTTTTTTTCTTCTCTTAAGTATACAGCATGAGACGCAGCATCTGGGCTCTCCGGCTTACAGAAATTCTCTTAGACAAGCTTAGGGTTAGTATCCACAGGTCACACCCTTTGCCACATCCTGACATGTGGATTGCTCAGAATGGTTGCATAGGATGCAGACTCCAAAGAGGATGAAGACAGATTTTTGAATTCCAGGATGATCTGAAAAAGATGCCCCCACTGCTCTCAGGGAAAGGGTATACACTGGAGATCACAGCCTTCTGAGTAAGGGCTTGGTATATGCTTCTTGTTGGAACATATGGCTCAGTACTTCCTTGATGGTGAAAAAGGAGATTCTCAAAGGATGGTTAATGTGCAAGGACCCAGCCAGGGCACATTTCCACTGCCATGCTTTTCAGTCTGGGAAT